CAATGATCTGGTCAAAGAAGTTCAGTCTTTCCGCATCACCCAAAATTAAAGATTTTTTAGGAAAGAATCTCACTTAACCAACAAAATTAAAAGGAAAAAAAAAATTCTTATTTTATTCAAAGCACATAAATTTCAGTCCTTAAAAAGTTCAGTCCTTAGTTTATGAAAAAAATATATAAATTCAATATTTTAATTTTAATTTTATCAAAAAGCACCTAATTCACAAGTGTTAGTGTTATTTATTGCCTAGTTGAAACTTGCTCTCAGGTCCAAATGTATCTGTGTTTGACTGCTTTATCCAATTAATTTCCGGTTAAGCTTAATTCAATAAGTTCAAATTTTATTTTTATTGTGTATTTTTTAGTGATCTTATTAGTAAAGCGCCCATCTTCTCAAGTGGGTGCGCTCGTATTCAAGTATCCCATTCCCTTAATTTGTCCAAATAAGTTATAAAAAATTAGTTCATTTTTATAAGAATAGTTTTTATTCTAAAAAAAAGGGGGAAAAAAAACACAGAAAACAAAGAAAGGTTTGAAGGCATGTGTCAATAAGCACTTTCTCGATATTGGGATTGAGAAGAGGTCTAATTCTAACTTACTTTTTTTTTATAATTTGTTTAAGAACTACTCTCTTTTTTTCTTAATAATATTCTTGAAAACGGTCATCAAATGACTTTATTCTTGTTTACAAATCATATTATTAGTAATACTCAAATTAATCTAAGTTTTTTATTATTCTTTTTACAACCGATGAGACAACCTAATTCTAATTTGAGATAAGATAAGATAACCTAGCTTGTAGTTTCGAGTCTTGATCAACGTCGTGCTGCACCTGATTCATTCATGGTTCATTCCAAGATACATAACATTTAACATAAGCTCTTTAAACTCGAGACTCATTCACATTAAAATGATATACAAGTCAAGCTCGAATCAAGCAAAGGTTGTTCAAAATGTACCAAAATTATTAAATTCAAATTCTCTTAGTCAATTTTAACTCTCTTTGTAAAATATACTATTATAATTTATTTAAATATTAAAAAAAAAAAAAAATGAAAATGAGTTCCAATTGATCCATCTAAGTCCGGGACACTTGTGTGCATCTTGGTGTGGCTCTAGTGTGTGCACCTTTGTGCTCCCCATGGTGTGAGCTAACCTCCGCGGAACCCAGGTAGTTAAACAATAACGATAATTAATTTTTATAAATTTCACATGCAGGCAATTTAATTGGTTAATAAATTAGATGGACATTTTGTAATCTTTTATTGCAAGAAAAGTTGCGGAGTGGACTCAAGTGTACTCGCATAGGCTATTAATTCACATCAAATTACTCTAGTGATGACAAATTAATGTATAATAATACTATTCCTATTTCATATTAAATATCCACTTGGAGTGAGTCAAACTTTTCGAAAATGTACATATTATATAGAATAGTACAAAAGTAGTATATAAAAAGAATACGATTAAAAATAATTTCAAATAACTTAAAAATAAAAGATGATAATAAGTCAAAAACAAATAAGTCAAAATTTTGGATGTGGGTAACTAATATGGGATAGGGAATTATAAATAAGAAATTATACAAATTATATGATCTAATTAAGTCTGCACTTGAAAGTTTGTCACCGGCTCACTCACGTATGGTCTATAAATTCAATTACAAGGGCAGAATAGACATTCAAAGTTTTTCTTGCTTGTGTAAGGAATCTCATCATTAACTTCAGTCAAAGTGGTCCATACATCTGAACCACTGTGTTTTCCTTGGCAATTGATCCAAAATCAAATCAAACCCCTCATCCAAAATGATCTTGCCTTATGCCCAGTTGTCCTTTCTTTGATATATGACGTATATTGTATATTTATGCTATATATATATATATATATATGTATAATATATATATAATATTGGCAATTTAATTTAGGGTATCCGGGTAGGTGATGCCAGCTCTTCTTCTATTTATTGGGCTCCTCTCTCTCTATACATGTCCATCCCTCCCTCTCGTCTGCAGATCTCAAATATGTGAATCACTCTCTCTCACAAATATCACAGTAGTCTCACTTTGCCTATCTACACTCTCGTCTCACTTTCCCAACAGAAAATGGTTTCTTCTTCACCACAGCATTTACAGTGTCCTTCTCTATGCAATTTTTCTCCTCTTTCTTCCCCAATTCAAAATGAGTATGTGGTCTTTCTTCCCGGCGAACTATAGAAATGCCTCAAGTTGTATGATTTTCTTCCCATCATCGTTTTGACCGATTTCAAAAACCCTTGCTATCATTTACTATTCTCTTAATATATATTCATTCGGTCCTTGTTTGTTTCAAGTAACATCTTTGCTTCCATGGCTCCTTTGAAACAGACCATCACTGATCTGCTAAGGAAGCCGAAGCTTAAAAAGAAAAAAGATCAGTTCCGTTTCTCTAGGGCAGTGGCAGTGAGTTCCCTGGAGAAATGGGACTCTACTTTCTTCTTTTCGAGCTTCGACTTCCTTAGCAGATCAGTGATGACGGTCTGTTTCAAGGTAACCATGGAAGAAAGTGATAATGTGATAGTACTCGGAACAAAGAAGCACGGACTTGATATATATGAAGAGAATAGTGAATGATAACAGGGTTTTTGAAATCAGATGATGAGAAGAAAAACATATAACTTAAGCCATTTATATAGTTGGTTCGGAAGAAAGACCCGAGAATGAAACAGACTCATTTTTTGTATTTGGGGATGAGAGATGAGAAAAATTGCACATATGGAGAGTACTGTGAATGGAGGGGTGAAGAAGACACCATTTCTCTGTTGGGGAAGGCAAAGGCAAAAATAAAACAAAGGGATGGAGGAAGGAGGACAAGTGATTATGCAAGGATATGTCTAGGTCTGCTCGGTACCAAAAAAAGTGTGATCTTGTCACAATATTCATGCATTCGACCTATTTTCGTTAATTACTTTAAGCGTTTAGAATTATTTCTTATCTTATCCTAGGGTTTCTTCCAAGTTATAAAAAGTAACCAGTATTCATTTTGTTTCTCATATATAGGACAATCATATTCTTATATATAATTTAATTAATAACCTTTATTAACCTTGGTTTAGAATTATTCCTTGTCATGAAGGACTGGACTGCCTAGTAGGTTCTTATAATGTACATGCATGTCTTCAGCTTAAAACTTGTTTTATATAGCCTTTTGATAAACCTTTTAGATAGCCTTAAAATTAAAGCACACTATTATTATTATGTTTTGCAATTTAAGTGATATTAACTCAATGATAATGTATCCTATATATATATATATAATTTATTGATTAAATTTAAGATTTGGTTTGGCTAATGAAGCCAAAGTAGTTAATGGTTTAAAAACAGCAACTCCTCAAATTATGTCAACAGATGTGGTAAATGGACCAAAATATTTTAAAATCCATCCACAAATGTACATGATTGCAAGTCATTAATGTTAAAATAAAACTAATTAAAGAGACTAAAAATAGGTGATTTCAGGGTACCTAGAAAGTGATTTTTAGAAGAACCTACGCAACGATCTAGTGTAACTAGAGAGAGAGAGATAGAAATAGAAGATAATTCCATCATCCTAAGAAAAGATAAAAATCTCCCTATCAAAACAAAAAGCCAAACAAGTGCTTCACAACTAAATCAATACAACTAAATCAATTATATAATACAAAACAGTGAGTGTACCAATTTATAAAGAAGAAAATAACTTCATGACAGAAGCTAAATTGGAAAATGCTTTAAAAACTAGTGGAAATAGTACCTACATAAGAGTAAAGTTATATTTTGTAGGATACAAACAATATACATTACATGCATATATTGATACTAGTGTAGATTTTTGAAATGCAAAAACAAGAGCTTTACCATGCCATATGAATTATAGAAGGAACAGGATGTATCTATTATAGGATTAATGCTGGAGGAACTTGAATTAGATATTGTAGGAGGCAACGAATGTGCAAGTAAAAATAAATATTGAAAAGTTTACAACACCAAAATTATGGGAAACTAGTTATAATAATAATTATGATGGACCATACTTTATATTAGGAAATAATTTTCTTAAACTCTACCATTACCTTTTATATAATATTTAGATGATATTGTTCTTACTGAGCGCAAACACAATTAAATGATGCAACATATTAAAAGTTAGCATACCTTGTCCATGTTATTGGAGCTGGAGAAAGTTACTGCAACTTCGAACTGTAGTTCAGGCTCTTGTCAAGCTAGGAATTGGCAATGGTTCAAATGCCAATTTCGGGTTCGACAAATGGTCACATCTTGGTCCCCTTCACCTCAGAATCTCCAATCATCAGCTTCTCAGCTCACCATTTGATAGCAAAACCAAGCTGTCCAATTTCATTTCTGGTTCTTCTTGGACTTTTCCGTGCTAGTATCACCGCTCTCATCCCTTAACTCACAGACACAAACCTCCTCTCAATCCCCGGCCCTCACAGACATGATAAGTTCCTTTGGATACCATCTCCATCAGGTGATTTCTCCATAGCCCAAAACTTAAAATTCCTTTCTCAACACATACCATCACAACCATGGCCACACATGGTCTGGTCTTCGCCTTCCATTCCCAAGCATTCCTTTATCCTTTGGCTAACTATTCAGTCGAGGTCTGCCACATTGGACGGTAAATGTACATCCTTCCTAAACTCACCAAACATTTGCCCACTGTGTAACCTCCTCCTACCAGAATCACACAACCACAGCTTTTTTCAATTCTCATTCACAGCACCCATTTGGGCATTTATTCAAACACGTTGTTGCAGTAACTTTCAATGACAATGAGGATGGTCTTGTGTGTTAGGGAAAATCTTCCCATAGTTTAGAAAAATACAAAGCCAGTAACGTCAACTTATTCATACACAATGATTCAAAACAATGAAACAATAATATCAATGAATAATGAAATAACAATACTTTCATTAAACTCAATAATACTGATATTGAACAACATGAATATAACGATGAGCAAAAATTTGAACAAACTTAATAAGCTGCCATATATGAATAAAGATGGAAATATGCAACAACATAAGGTTCCAACTCTTAAAACTATAGTAAATATAGCTTTCAACGGACAAATATGATTAAATCTTTTTAACTACTACATAACTTGACTTCACAAAAAAAAGGCCCATAATACATTATGAAAAACATCCTTTCCACCTTCTCGCTTCAAATTAGTTTCTTCTTCCAGTTGCTTAAAGCACCAGCTTGAACCCCTTTGACAGGAAGTCAAATCTAAGAGAATCAAAATAGAGCACATAAGGTTTAAGATGACATCAATATACAGAAACAAAGGCAATAAAATTCTCAGCTCTAGGTAAATTTACTGCTAGAGGATAAGAAGTCAATACAACCTTTAGCAGTTGCAAGCTAATAAATTATACTAACTATAGTCATTTAAGATCCACATATATTAAAGAGAACTCTAGTTAAAGGGAAAACCTAGTGCACCATACTCCTGCCATTGCAAGGTCTGGGGAGGGTCACATGAATGCATCCCTTATCGGAGAGGCTGCTTCCGAATTTTGAACCCAATAGATCAACCTTACCTGTAAAGTTTTTGACTTATCTATATATATAATTAGTATAATGACTTTTCAACTGTGGGGCCCACCTGAGATATAAGGGTCATTACAGACCCATTTAATTCCAATTTGCTTTCTCTCTCGGGCAGCTTAAATCTCTCTCTCTCGCTGCTTCTGTTTTTTTTCTTTTCTTTTTTCTTTTTCAACTTCAATCCTTGATTTCTCTCTCAATTCTTGGCGGATTTAGGTGTCGTTTGAGGCAAAACGACGAGCTCTACGTGCTAGTACCAGAAATTCCAGCTTTTGGTCCTCTTTGGGAGCTCGAATTTAAGGACCCATTTTAAGGGTTTTGTGCAATCTTGAGGTAGGGGCCCTTAACTCATGATGTTCTTGCTCTTTTGTGAATTATACCTCCTAAATTGTTAAAAAGCATGCTTATTTTTGAATTAATTGTATCAAAGATGATGTAAGTGTTATATGTGAGGTTATGATTAAATGTGTTACTTGAGTTGTATGAGAACATGTTTATTTGACTAATTTCCTTGTCTGATAAATTGATTTACCATGCTTATATTGTTGTAAAACTTGCTAGAATGATATGGGATGGCATGTGTAATTTTCCTAGAGTACTTGTAATGTATGCACAATTGTATAATGTGAAAGCCTTCACTTCCATGGCATTAAGAACATGATGTACATGCATACAATGAGACATGATTGGGAAGATTGTTTTGGAAATGAAAATAGGGAGTTTTGGGGAAAAGTATTTTGATGAAAGTGTTTTTGGAAAACCCGGTCGCCGCGAGGGTACCAAAGGGCCGGAGTGTTAATATGGCCTAGAGGGGACTAGGGAGTCGCCCTAGCGTGGTTGAGCTAGCTGGGCCCCATAATGACGCCGCGGGGTTACCAAGGGTCAGGGACACTAGCCAATCCTCCTCTCGTGTCGCTGCGGGGTCACCAAAGGGCGGGTTATATTAACAGTCTGAAAGTGATGGATTTTAAATGTGAAAACGGGGAGCGACATCAGGATGCATTCGCATTTCATGGCATTGCATTGTTTGTACTTGAGTTTGATTGGAATGTTGTATTATCCCGATATTGTATGATCCACATTCCCATTGACCTATTCTATGTTTGGATTCACAGGGACACAAGATGCGTGTCTCAAGTGTCACCTACTGAGCATATAGCTCACCCTGCATACTTATTATTTTTTTCAGGTCATGGCAAAGAAACGGCGGATGACAATCCTCCGTAAACTTGAAAGTTGTTAGAAGGTTGTTTGCTATTTTGTATTTTGACCATTCTATGTATATTCATAGTTGTGGAAATGTAACTAAGTTAGTATTCATGGCCTTGTAATTTAAGAACGAACTTATCTTTTGTTTAATGTAAATGAAACTAATGGAATCATGGTATATATTTCCATGTAATTGTATCATGTAACGTTGTAAGACATGGACTTCAAATATTAATCTTGTATTTTGGGACTATAATTATGATAATTTAGATTATTTGGTGTGTGGATGTTCCACCATGAAAGGAACTATGTTAAGGTATAATGAACGGATGAATGGGATGCTAGATGATTTTATGTGTTTTGTGTATTGGGACAGGTTGTTGAAGGCCCATTTTTAGGGGAGGTTATGCCGAATTTTTTTTAAATTTTGGCATCAGCTAAGGTCGTTACAAATTTGGTATCAGAGCGATGGTTCGAATACCATTAGGACGACGGGTAGAGGCTTGCCTAGGGTTGTCTGAGAAGTCATTTGCATTGTTATTTCCTTGTTTGGAAAAGTGTTTTGCTATGTGAAAAAGCATGCTTAACTGCTTACTTGCTTACGTGCTTATGTGTTTATATGCTTACATTAATGTGTTCATTGCATAGTATTACATGCTAAATGTTTGTACAGTATGTTTTTGCGTTGGGTTGTTCACGGTTGGACCTTAGTGTTATCGTTATTGAATTGTTTCCTTTGTTTTATAGAACGATGTCACGGCGTGAGGAAATCAGGGAAGTTGGCCTTAGACCGACTAGGGGTGATGTTGGTGAGAGCTCCAGCTCCAATCCGGAGGAGCTAAATGATGAGGACACACTTCTTAGGGACTTGATTCCCCCGAGAGCTGTCCCCACAAGGGGGGATAATGTTGAAGCACCCGTAGAAGTGGGTGAAGGTTCTGTGGCACTGGAGTTTAATCGTTTGTTGCAAAATGTCGTGAGGGCAACGATTGCTGCTCAGTCGCAGTCGGCACCACAACTTACAGTTCAAGTTGAGGAGACGCCAGCTCAGAAGCGTCTTAAGATTATTAAGGAGTTTTCTCAGCTGATGCCGGTTATGTTTGAGGGCGGTGCGGATCCAATGATAGCAAATGACTACATGGAGCAAGTTGAAACTCAATTGACTTCTATGGATGTGACAGAGGATCATTTGAAGATCATCCTAGCTACTTATAAGTTTGCTAAGGATGCTAAATTATGGTAGAAGTCGGTTACGAGCCGATACAAGGTGGAAGAGATGAGTTAGGACAAGTTCAAGGAATTGTTTTATAAAAAGTACTTTCCGCTTTCCAAAAGATGGGAGTTACAAGACCAGTTTCATAACCTTATCCAAGGGAGCATGTCAGTGGCAGAATATGAAAAAAAGTTCACTTCACTTTCTCGCTTTGCTCCATAAATGGTGAGAGATGAAGTTAACAAGACTCGGAAGTTTGTTTCTGGTCTTAATGATCGGATGAGGCCGTTGATCACGGCACAGTTCATTAAGGTTTACTCTGAAGCAGTGGAAAGGGCTTTGATGCTGGAAGCTGATAATAAAGAGAAGGATGCAAGAAGAGAGCAGTTGAAGCAAAAGAGGGGTGCAGGGCCATCTTCAGAAGGATCTTCTTGGAAAAGGAACAGGGGCAGTCCATCTCAGTTTCAGGGACAACAATCTGCACGATCTGCTCCTACCACTCCGTTGCCAGTTGGGTCTGATAGGAATGCAGTTGTTTGCTTTCAATGTCAGCAGCCTGGGCATTACAAGTCCAGTTGTCCTATGAGATTGACTTCAGTTTCTTCAGCTCTGAAGGCTTGTTATAGGTGTGGCCAGCAGGGCCATTTGATTCGGGACTGTCCGAGTCAGGGAGCAGGCACCACTAGTGGCAGAGGGTCACGGCAAAGGCCGTTACAGTCGCCTACGGTTCAATCAGGTTTTAGACCACCGCCGCCACCACCACAGCCTGCCTTATCTTCTCAGGGTTCACGACCAGCTAGGAGGGATACTCCTACTGTGTCAGCACAACAGTCTAGTGTTCAGATTAGTAGTTCACAGGCACAGGCACCGCAGGGGCGTGTCTTTGCCCTTGCACCAACTGATGCATCTCCTGGATCTTCAGTTCTTCGAGGTATATTTCCAGTGTTTGGTTCTTGGGCCCGTGTTTTGTTTGATTCTGGTGCATCTCATTCTTTCATTTCATCATCATTTGCACTTGCATCGGGGTTAGAGGTCAGTTTTATGGATCAGGCGTTATGTGTTGATACGCCAGTTGGAGTTTCAGTGTCTTTGAGCCGAGTCATGAGGGATTGTTCCATTGTGATAGCCGAGCGGACTTTTGTGTTTGACCTTATCCTCCTAGAAATGACTAGCTTTGATGTCATTCTCGGGATGGATTGGTTAGCTTCTTTTCATGCCACGATCGACTGTTTCAGAGGAAGGGTTACAGGTTGTACTCCCGAGGGAGACTGTTTCTTTTTCGTGGGAGATCGGAGTGATTCCCACATTTCATCGTTTTATGGAATTCGTGGACGGAGTCGTGATGATTACTTTTTGGCTACCCTTATAGCCGAAGAGGATGATGTTGTGGAAGAATATTATCCTGCAGTTGTTCGTGATTTTCTGGATGTGTTTCCGGAGGATTTGACAGAGTTGCCTCCACACCGAGAAGTGGAGTTCTCTATTGAGTTAATGCCAGGTACCGCGCCGATTTCTATGGCACCGTATCGTATGGCACCAATTGAATTGGAGGAATTAAAAAGACAGCTTGATAATTTGAGGATGAAAGGTTTCATCCGACCGAGTGTGTCACCATGGGGCGCACCAGTCTTGTTTGCTAAGAAGAAAGATGGTTCTTTGAGGTTGTGCATCGATTATCGGAAGTTGAATCGCGCCACCATCAAGAACAAGTATCCTTTGCCAAGGATAGATGATTTATTTGATCAGTTGAGAGGAGCCAGTTGTTTCTCCAAGATTGACTTGAGGTCTGGCTATTATCAGTTGCAGGTTAGGGATGAGGATATCCCGAAGACAGCATTCCGTACACGGTATGGACACTATGAGTTCCTTGTTATGCCTTTTGGCTTAACTAATGCTCCAGCGGCATTCATGGACTTAATGAACCGCGTCTTTCACGATTACTTGGACCAGTTTGTGGTAGTTTTCGTGGATGACATTCTTGTGTATTCACGATCTCGGGAGGAACACAAGATCCATTTAAGTATTGTTTTACAGATTTTGCGGGAGCACCGGTTGTATGCCAAATATGAGAAATGTGAGTTTTGGCTACATGAGGTGAAGTTTTTGGGACATGTTGTTTCAGAAGGTGGAGTGTCAGTTGATCCATCAAAGATTGAAGCTGTTTTGAATTGGGAGCAACCCAAGAATGTGTTTGAGATCCATAGTTTTCTTGGTCTAGCGGGTTACTACCGGAGATTTGTGAAAGATTTCTCCCGTTTGGCAGCGTCTATGACCCGTTTAACCCGGAAAGGGATTAAGTTTGCATGGAATGAAGCCTGTGAGTCATCTTTCCAGGAATTGAAGACAAGATTGACTACGGCTCCGATGTTAGTGATACCTGAGCGTGGCTTGGGTTATGTGATCTATTGTGATGCTTCACGTGATGGTTTAGGGTGTGTGTTGATGCAGGATGGTAGAGTAGTGGCTTATGGGTCTCGACAGTTGAAGACTCACGAGTACAACTACCCTACTCATGATTTGGAGTTGGCGGCAATTGTGTTTGCTTTGAAGTGTTGGAGACACTACTTGTATGGTGAGAGATTCGAGGTGTACTCAGATCATAAAAGTCTCAAGTACCTTTTCTCCCAAAAGGACTTGAACAATAGACAGAGAAGATAGGTTGAATTCTTGGAAGATTATAATTTTGACTTGCAGTATCATCCGGGCAAGGCAAATGTGGTAGCAGATGCCTTAAGCCGAAAATCTCGTGGAACTTTGGCCTGTCTAGTTATTCGGAAGTGGAAGATGCTTAAGGATTTGGCAGAGATGGAATTGTATTGTTTTGATGATGATGTTGACAGCGAGCCGGCATTCTTGTTTAATCTTATGACTCAGCCTACTCTTGTTGTACGAGTGATTGAGTCACAGAGACAGGACCCGGATTTAGATGCCATTCACGCTTTGATCTCCAGTGGTGAGACAGTGAAAGATTGGGCCTTGTATGCAGATGGGGGTCTACGGTTCAGGGGTTTGTTGGTGGTTCCTACTGTTTGTCGTGAGGACGTCTTACGGGAGTTTCACACTTCCCGCTTTGCAGTTCATCCAGGTGGTACCAAGATGTATCACAATTTGAGACGTCAGTATTGGTGGAACGGGATGAAAAAAGATGTTGCACAGTTTGTGGCTAGATGCCTTACCTGTCAGCAGGTGAAGGCCGAGCATCAGAGACCAGCCGGTTTGTTGCAACCATTACCTGTAGCGCAATGGAAATGGGAGCATATTGCTATAGATTTTGTGACAGGTCTTCCAAGGTCACGAAGGGGCAATGAGTCCGTATGGGTCATCATTGACAGATTGACTAAGACGGCTCACTTTTTGCCTATTAAGGCAACAGATGATGCAGAGAAGCTTGGTGTTCTTTATGTGAAGGAGATTGTAAGGTTGCATGGAGTTCCAGTAACCATTGTTTCAGATAGGGATGCTAAGTTCACTTCGAAGTTTTGGGAAGGACTTCAAGCAGCGTTTGGCTCAGCATTGCACCTGAGTACGGCATTCCATCTACAGACTGACGGTCAGTTGGAGCGTACTATCCAGATTTTAGAGGATATGCTTCGGGCATGTGTGCTTGACTTGGGTGGTAGTTGGGAGGATCACCTTCCACTTATTGAATTTGCCTACAACAACAATTATCAGGCGAGCATTCAGATGGCTCCATTTGAGGCGTTGTATGGTAGACCTTGTAGGTCTCCTGTTTGTTGGACTGAGGTAGGTGAGACAGCCACCTTAGGACCTGACATTGTACTCGAGACTACTGAGAAGATTAAGTTGATAAGACAGAGGTTACTTACAGCTCAGAGCCGACAGAAGAGTTATGCGGATAAGCGGAGACGGTCGTTATCCTTTGAGGTGGGAGACCACATTTTTCTTCGGGTTTCTCCACGGAAGGGATTGATGAGATTTGGGAAAAGTGGCAAGTTGTCGCCACGATTTATTGAACCGTTTGAGATTTTGGACCGTGTAGGAGAGGTTGCCTACAGACTTGCTTTGCCACCACAGTTGGATAGGGTCCACAATGTTTTCCATGTATCGATGTTACGGAAGTACGAGCCAGATCCATCTCACATTTTGAGTTGGGTTGATGTAGACATTGATGAGGATGTTTCCTACGAGGAAGGACCAGTTCAGATTCTTGACACACAACAAAAGGTGTTGAGGAACAAGACGATACCAATGGTGAAAGTCCTTTGGAGACACTACGGAGTCGAGGAGGCTACTTGGGAGCTCGAATAGGAGGTTCGCTCCAAGTATCCAGAGTTGTTTTCTTCTCCAGGTATGTCTTGATTACGGGGACGAAATCTTTTAAAATTGGGGAGAATGTAAAGTTTTTGACTTATCTATATATATAATTAGTATAATGACTTTTCAACTGTGGGGCCCACCTGAGATATAAGGGTCATTACAGACCCATTTAATTCCAATTTGCTTTCTCTCTCGGGCAGCTTAAATCTCTCTCTCTCGCTGCTTCTGTTTTTTTTCTTTTCTTTTTTCTTTTTCAACTTCAATCCTTGATTTCTCTCTCAATTCTTAGCGGATTTAGGTGCCGTTTGAGGCAAAACGACGAGCACGACGAGCTCTACGTGCTAGTACCAGAAATTCCAGCTTTTGGTCCTCTTTGGGAGCTCGAATTTAAGGACCCATTTTAAGGGTTTTGTGCAATCTTGAGGTAGGGGCCCTTAACTCATGATGTTCTTGCTCTTTTGTGAATTATACCTCCTAAATTGTTAAAAAGCATGCTTATTTTTGAATTAATTGTATCAAAGATGATGTAAGTGTTATATGTGAGGTTATGATTAAATGTGTTACTTGAGTTGTATGAGAACATGTTTATTTGACTAATTTCCTTGTCTGATAAATTGATTTACCATGCTTATATTGTTATAAAACTTGCTAGAATGATATGGGATGGCATGTGTAATTTTCCTAGAGTACTTGTAATGTATGCACAATTGTATAATGTGAAAGCCTTCACTTCCATGGCATTAAGAACATAATGTACATGCATACCATGAGACATGATTGGGAAGATTGTTTTTGAAATGAAAATAGGGAGTTTTGGGGAAAAGTATTTTGATAAAAGTGTTTTTGGAAAACCCGGTCGCCGCGGGGGTACCAAAGGGCCGGAGTGTTAATATAGCCTAGAGGGGACTAGGGAGTCGCCCTAGCGTGGTTGAGCTAGCTGGGCCCCATATTGACGCCGCGGGGTTACCAAGGATCAGGGACACTAGCCAATCCTCCTCTCGTGTCGCTGCGGGGTCACCAAAGGGCGGGTTATATTAACAGTTTGAAAGTGATGGATTTTAAATGTGAAAACGGGGAGCGACATCGGCATGCATTCGCATTTCATGGCATTGCATTGTTTGTACTTGAGTTTGATTGGAATGTTGTATTATCCCGATATTGTATGATCCCCATTCCCATTGACCTATTCTATGTTTGGATTCACGGGGACACAAGATGCGTGTCTTAAGTGTCACCTACTGAGCATATAGCTCACCCTGCATACTTATTATTTTTTTCAGGTCATGGCAAAGAAACGGCGGATGACAATCCTCCGCAAACTTGAAAGTTGTTAGAAGGTTGTTTGCTATTTTGTATTTTGACCATTCTATGTATATTCATAGTTGTGGAAATGTAACTAAGTTAGTATTCATGGCCTTATAATTTAAGAACGAACTTATCTTTTGTTTAATGTAAATGAAACTAATGGAATCATGGTATATATTTCCATGTAATTGTATCATGTAACGTTGTAAGACATGGACTTCAAATATTAATCTTGTATTTTGGGACTGTAATTATGATAATTTAGATTATTTGGTGTGTGGATGTTCCACCATGAAAGGAACTATGTTAAGGTATAATGAACGGATAAATGGGATGCTAGATGATTTTATGTGTTTTGTGTATTGGGACAGGTTGTTGAAGGCCCATTTTTAGGGGAGGTTATGCCGAATTTTTTTTAAATTTTGGCATCAGCTAGGATCGTTACATTACCATTGTGCCAAATTTCTATAACTAACATGTCATTTAAAGGGTCTAAATTTCTATAACTAACAATGCCAAGTAAGATAATATACGCAGAGCAAAAAGAGCACAAAAAGATTAATTTGGGGGTTACCTTCCCTTTCTATCCTTCTTTTGTGCTTGCTGATTGTTTTCATCACATCCACCATCATGGAGAGGAACTAGACTTCCCAAACAAACATCAGCTTCAAATGAACTTGGCACAACATGAATCCAAACATCATTCTTGACTGTTTGGCTTTTCAAGTCGAACCAGAGAAGTCTTGCATTGTCACAGGCGAGAAGTACTTCCCCACCACTCTTTGAATACGCTAGAGGCCTCACAAAATCATAAAACCTAGTAAATAAACTCAGCAGCTCAACAGATAACACTTTAGTCCAAGATTCGTTTACTCCATACTCTTTCATCACCCCTATATCAACTCGGCCTCTAGCATTAGCATAATTGCAAATTACACAAAGGCATCTCCTAACACCCTCACATTCCTACAAAAATCTTTATCCAAATAATCAGGCACTCGCACTAACCTATACTCCTCAACCCCAAGATCAAAAGCAGCAATCAAACCGGCCGTGTCCGATTTGGGTTTACGAGTCACAACCCAGTGCAAAACCCCATTAACAACCACAGCATTCAGTGACAAGTGTCGGAGGGAATAAGGAAAATCTTGGATCGTTCGCCATCAATTTGATTTCGAACTCTAAACCTTAACTTCAGAATCAATTGAACCATCATTTCTGCTATAAAACTGTACCAATCTCACCATAAACAGAATCCAATCGGGTCGAAGGGTTCCACAGCATAATGTGTTGCTGTGTGTAATAGGAACAGAACAAACCGTTGCAAGAGCCCAATTCTTGAGGTGCTTTCAACTTCAAGGGGTGGTCAAGCTTTATAACACGATCGAACGAGTCGAAATCCATAACGATCTCTAAGTATGACGCTGAGATTGGCGTTGATTTCGATGGATAGATTCAGATGCGATTTGATGAAATGTGCACTGTCGATCAGAGCACGCCATGGTTTGGATACGCACCTGAACCTCAGAAGGGGTTTCATATGTCGGCGGTTACTTCCACCGGAAGCTCTGACGTCTTTCGCTGCCTTTTTAGGGTTTGTATAGAAAAGACGAACAAATCGCATAAGGGTTTAAGGTGTAAGATTTAGCCCCCTTCTGGCTTTCTTTTTTTACTTCCATTTTCAGTTTCCTCAAATCAATTTGTGGAGGTACGATCTCTCTCTCAGATTTCTCTCTCTCTCTCATCTCAAGAGGGGTTTTACCGGTAAATTTTTTTTTAAGTTAACCCGGTCGGTGTGAGGAAGGCACCAACTTTTATGTTTTGTTTGGTTGGAGAAAAGGGTCAAGGGGGGAATGGATGAGGAGGAATGAATAAATATTTTTGTGTTTGGTTGGAAGAGAGGGAAAAAATAAGGAGGGATGAATTTATCGGCCCACTTTTGGGGGAAGACAAGAGAAAAAGAAGGCATAACTATATATAAATTTGTAATTTATAATATTAACCTTTTCAAAAAATTTGAAATAAATATCTACTTTTTATAATTTTATATAAAAGAGTGTATTAGTAAAAATAATATAAGAACTTTCATTCCCTTCCTTCCAACCAAACAAGAAAAAAAATATCACTCAATTTATCCTTTCTATTATCCATTCCATTCAACTAAATAAAAAATGAGAAAGATACATCCCTTTCCTAGGAATATCTCATTCATCCTTCCCCCTATCTATTCCATTCATTTTTTCATCACTCCAACCAAACAAAGCATGAGGCTATGTTTGGTACGATGGGTTTGAAGGGGGAGGATAAGATTAGTTATGAAGGAAAGGGAAGAGAAGGGAAGGATAATTTTAATCCTCCATTGTGTTTGGTTAGTTAATAAAGGAAAAGAAAGGGAAAAATAATAATTATGTTTGGAAAAAGAATATATATTCTCCTATATCAGTAGCTTGGCCACAATAAAAGGAAAGAAATTTTTCTTTCTTGAACAAAGGTCAATCAAAAAAGAATTAGACGATCCAGATCCAGCTGTAGAAACCTTCGTTCTTGAAGGTTCCGATCTAGGGCAAATCATTTCAGCCTCCCCAATCTCTGCCTCCATCTTTATTATCGTTCTCAACTCCCTCTCTCTCTCTCTCTCTCTCTCTACAAGATTCAGAAGTTCAAAACCCAAACTCATATATTTCAGTTTATATTTCTGTCTGCAAGAATCAAAAATTCAAAACGCATATCCATATATCAGATTGTTCAGAAAATCAAAACCAATATCTTCCAAGTTTCCATCGCCGCTGTTCCAGTTTGGGTTCACCATCGCCGCTGTTCCAGTTCGGGTTTGCCATTCCCAGCTGTTGCTCACCGTCTCTCCATTCTTTCTGCAACGGTTAACTTGTATGTATATTGTTTTGAGGGTAAAATTGGCATCACAAATATTACATCAACCGGCCTTCCATTTCTTCCCATTTTTGGGAGGTTAAACAAATCAGTGTAGAAGGCTATACATAACCCTCCAAACCCTTCTCTCTCCTTCCCTTTCCTTCCACCCATTTTACCCAAAAACAGGTTTTTAGTCACTCTCCATCACCTTCCCTTTCCTTTCCTCCCATTTTCACTCTACCAAACTGAGCCTTAGAGTCTCTAACAACTCGACTAATCCTGAGGATTCAGAAGGGCGCCTCCCTACCCGGGTCAGATAAGTCACTACAAAAACAACAGATATTAGCCACATAAAAACACCTAGTGAAATTCAAATGTATGTAAGACATTTTGGTTTTCAAAAATTCTATTTTATTTTTTATATTTTTTGGAATGAATATTTATGTAATTAGATATGGTTACTTAACAGAAAATTAATGTCCATCTCGCTGCAACTGTTGGTTGATAGCTCAAGATATTTTGCAATTTGGCCTTGAAAATACTATAATACTAATTTAGTTTAAAAACGAAAAGTCGAAAAAAAAAAAAAAAAAAAAAATCAATGTATTTAAAACCAAACAAAATCGAATTGCATGCTTTGTTGCAGGTCTTTTTGAATAAATTCGGAATTGATTCTCTCCAACGATTCCTATATTTAATCTAACCGAAACAGATATGAAAGCACACATTAGCATTTTGTTTGGATTAAATTAGGTATAAAATTAAAGCATAGTGGGTGATATGATACATTTTTGATCGTTTGATCCAGATTTGGAGATGCACGGAGAGACAAATAATTGGAGAGGATCCAAATCTGAATAATTGAGTCACATGAGTTTTTTTTTTTTCCTTAATTTTTAATTTTCAATTTTTATTTTTAAGGGTGAACTATATTACATCTCTTTTTTTTTATTTGTGTTTTGCATTAAATTATCTTCTTAATTTTTTTGTCAAAAAGATTTCCCTCAATTAGTCAAGGGGGTGATTTAGAAAACGGACTTTACCTGAAAGGGAATTGAAATAGAAATTGACTTAAATACTTATTAGGTTGATTTGAAAAAGGGGTGACTTAAAAAACGGACTTTAGCTTAAAGAGAATTGAAATAGAAATTGACTTAAATATCCATTAAACGTATTTGATAATCTACTTTGTGAGTGTGTCTTATATGTGTGTGTGTATATATATATATATATTTTACATAACCTCATTTTTAGAAATTAACACTTCTATTTATTATTATTATTTTTAATCTGATAACATTTTAGAAAACACCGATGAAGTATGCTTATAATGCATATCAAATCCCTTGCGTGTAAAAAATACCCCTAAAGTTTTAATCGGTGCAAATAAGTCCCTCTGACAAATTTAAATTCTAAATTGACTAAATTACCCTTGCTGAACCATTTTATAAAAAATATAAAAGTAAATAATATTCGGTTAAGATGGATGTGAATAAATCTTATAGCCATTCTTTTGCTGTTGTTAGTTGTTACACGAAAATATGGGAAAAAGAATATGCAATTTTACATATTCATTATCATTTAACCATAAAAGGAAATGAAGATAATTAAAATTCAAACAGAACAATAGAAAATCAAATGATATTTTGATATTCCTGAATTCGGAAAATATTTAGATATCAAGGAAATCAATTCAAAATTTGAAAATGTCGTTGGTCAGAAAGTTCGATGATTTTATTTTTATAAGTAAAAATATATTAGAAAGCATTGAAAAAAGAAACATATCCGGAATACTACACAAAAGCCTAAGCCAAGAGGGGTCCTAGGAACGAAAATCCACTGATTAGAGAAATCCTATCTCATTTTGTTCTACATAATTCCAAGCTCTAAAAAATTTATTTTTGATTGGTTCTTGAGAAAAACTTGTTAAAATTTTAAAATTAACCCAACATTATTTAAATTTTTATATAATTATACCTAGGGATAGTTTTTTTTTTTTTTTTTTTTTTTTTTTTTTTTTTTTCGAACGGTTAAACAATGTATGTGTGTATGCGCAAATGCCATCGTAATCCAACAGTTGGGTTGCTCTCCATTGTCGTAGGGAGTCCCGTTTCGAGTATTCGCTCCCCTAAATTCGAATCTAACATTCTTGCTTTGAAAAAAAATAAATAAATAAAAAATATGCATATAGAAGAACTAACAAGGCCCAAGGAGGTAAACAAAAAAAACCAAAACAGCAAATTGAAGTACAACAAGCCCAAACATTCGGCCACACAGAGAAGCACAATATTAACCTTGAGGTCCCCAGCCCAAACAGTTAGATACTACAAACATTGACAGATCAACATGCAAGTCTTATTCAATTTATATTGACCAAAATGCCACATGAAAAATAAGACCTTTTTGTCAACATAAATTATAAAATATGACTTTTTTTTTTTCTTCTTCTTTTTTCGCTATTATACTAGTAAATTACAAGATCTGATCCAAAAAATTATTCCAATAAGCATGCCATTTTGATTAAAAATAGCAAATAAAAAATATATATATCTCAAAAAGTGGTTGTGTGATGGGGATTCCCATAATGGGTTCACACTATTCAATATCCAACCACTTTAATGCCTCACTTGGTTATAAGCCCATGTTACTAGGCTCGGCGATATTGAAAGGCAATACTGCATATTATTAATTACTAAATTATATTATAATTGACAGATGTGGGACTGAGTGTTAGAGGTTTTGCCCCACTAATCCACAAAACTCGTGCAAAGCAACTACCCCACACAGATCGGGTAAGGTTCGAATTATATTCGCGATCGTGGCCGCAAAGTAATTACTCGCACATAAAAAGAATCGAACTTACCTAATAGAAATCAAACTTAAAGCCTAAATCTTCGCGAGACGGATTAAAAAAAAAAAATTGACATTTGGTCATTATAAATGTTAAAATAGGGTTTTTTTTTTATTTTATATTTTATATATATATATTTTTGTGCATGCTCAAATTGATGGAGTTAACAATATGATAAGTTCTAAGCGTGATGGAAATCATCTGATTAAAGGAGCGGTATTAGTATTAACAAAAGTTTTGTAGGTAATTTATGAGTCATTAATTAGTCATAGTCATCATGCTCAATTGATTATTGATAAAGTTGGTCCTGCTACACATAGTATTAAGTATGTTCATTGGTTGTAATTCATATATATGATTATTGTTTATTCCAAATAGTTTATAAAATATGCTAAACAACCCACCAAGTAATGTCACACCATGTTTTTCCAACAAAACATGCATTCTGTGATCAACAACTGCAATCCTACAATTCAGTCAATAAGTACATTTTCTACAAGTTTCTTAGAATTTTAAATTAGTCCAAAAAGTTACCATAACAGGTATGTTTGGTTTAATTTTTTTTTTTTTTTTTTTTAAAAAAATTCCAGATTTCTAAACAGAAAACGGAATTTTGCAGCCTTGCAACAATGACAATTATCTTCAAATTAGAAAGTATGGCACTTTTCTAGAAGTGTGGTGGTGTCACATGTTTGATCAAGACATGCGCGAGACACTTATTTAACGTGGCAGGGATACGTTTGTGACATTTTCAGGGCACAACAAAAAATTTTGCAATTATTATTATTATTATTTTAAAAGGGTTCTAATACATTTTTTAAAATATATGAGTTAACTAGGAAAGTAATATAAGGTTTGAAAAACAAAAACAAAACCCATCCAACTTTAAGCTCCAAATTAATAATTAAATTCATAATAATGCGAATCAAGTTAAAAAAATATCAATTTTTTTATTTTTATTTATTTTATTTTTTATTTTTGTATGAATGATGTATTATAGGAGTATTATTATTTTCAGATGTATCATTGTTGAATCGTATTCTATTTTTTGTAAAATAGTTTTACTATTATGTTTGTATCAAGTTATACCCATGTATTTGGGTAGGTGATTGACTAATATTGTTTTGGGT